TTCCATTAAGGTTATTATAAATGTAGCATAATACTTTAAAGTAGTTGAAAGTATAGTAAGGTTACTTTCTTAGCTACTTGATAACAGAAGGAATACCGATAAATGTATTAGATATGTCTTGTAATAACCGTGATAACATTGTGGTAATAATGTCGAAAGTGGGCGCGACCTAAATGGTTTGTGAAGTGGTGGGTAATTCGGGCGGCCGAGTATGAAAGGTTTAGCACTTCGTCGTTGTTCCTGCTCCTGGGGTAGAACTCTCTATTTTATACTACTAAATGGTTTATCGTTGCTCACAGGTATACATTAAATTCCCGTCTGCATCCTATCTTCTCAACTTCCCACCTACAAAAGTAGCTAAAACCACGTGTGAAATAACTAGACGTGGTCAAATTTCCAAAATCATCGGACGACTTTTTTTTTTTCTCGTATAAGCGTTTCGAAATCAAATTTAAACGAAAATCGTAAAAAAAACTTATGACACTTCAAATTATGTACTGCCCCGAACTACGCACGGAATCGTCAAGCTATGGTTCGTCATCGCTACGAATCGCTTAGATATAAATGAAATAACCTTATGTATCCTGCATTCCCGACTTTTCAACTACAGCAGTGGCCGCTCCGATCCCCAGTAACAGCTCTTTTTTTTTTTTTTAAATATTTATCATTTATAATTTTAAATTATCAACAGTTAATAATTAAATTAAATGTTCTCCAGAAAAAAAAAATTATAGTTTTATTTTTTTCATATTATTTGTATCGGTCATTAATTTCTAAAAAAAAAAAAAAACCACGAATTCCGACGTGTTTTCCACTTGTTGAGACCGCACCTAAAATTGACACAACTGTTAGGCTTATTGAACACACGTGAATGTTAAAGAAAGTTGTCAGTTTTTTTTTTTTAAATATAAATTGGTTTTCGCGCCCGTTAACCATTTCGGCGTACAGCAATTATTATTAGAAAATATGGACTACCGTAAAAGCCATTATTTTGACAAACGAAATAATTATCAGTGAGATTAATGTCAGTAGATTTATACCGTTTGGATCGCTGTAACGTATGCCGAGTAGGTTTACTTAATAAAATGTACCGGACTGTCCTGATTAGGCAGTACGCTATTTTATCGTTACTCTTAAAGCGGAATAAACGTGCGTGTCACGTGCCGTACGTTGCGACCGTGCAGTTTAGCATTTTTTTTTTTTCCGTCGAAATATTAATGACCTCTTACATAGAGTAAGTAAGAATTTAAATGCCCCCGTTACCAGGGGTGTGTTATAGGTAACAGGTATTTTCCATGCGGGGGCACCCTCCCCCCCCCCCCACCCCCCTCCGTCGGCGTTCGCGTCGGAGGCCCCGTCGGGTGTACACGTTTTGTTTCGTATAATATTCACCAGCCAGGAGAATACTTAAAACCGTGAACTATTATTATTCAAGATTGTTATTTTTGATAACGCGATAACGCGCCAACAGTACCCACGCGGATTTTCAACGCGAAACTGTATTGAATAATAATAACGGTATTTTAAAACTGTTGTCGAATGGACGACCGGCCGCGCCGTTCCATCCCGATACGGGCGATACGAAACACAGATTTTGATCCGGAACCGACTGGACGTTTAATATCTTTTTTTTATTTTTTTTAATACGTGTATTATGATTGCATTTTCGTTATCCGCGATCGTATCATAGTTCCATTCGTATCGTTCCACCGTGGCCGACCGTTTTTTCATCGCGCCCGCACATTGTAATTAAAACTCGGTTTTTACGATTTTCGCGTTCGGCAATGTTGTCGAGTTATAACGAGAATACGAGATCGCGCGTTTGCGTTGATGATTTTATTTTTTTTTTTCTGCGATTTCAAATCTAAGAGCTCAAACGGGGTATCTAAGCGTGTGGGGTTTACCTAAACCTAACCATAAACCGTAGCAAGTAGCAACTACTAACTTGGTGTTTCGGTTTCTGTTAATCATAATGCATAGTAAACGCGAGTATGAAACCCGTTCGAAAAAACGTCAAGAAAAAAAAACGGAGAATACATTGTTGAAATGTGGAAATAATAAAAACCGAATGAAATTAGTTTTTTCAAAAAGGTGAGTTCATTTTTTAAATAATTATGTTTCAGCACCTATGTTAGTATTCTAATTTTGAATTAATAATAAATAATGTAGTTAGCGAGTAGTGAGGTAGGAATTATAAACATATTACAGACAGTGCCGTATTTATAATTATAGGGGGTGATATTGGAGATAGATCCGTTCCATTTCCCTTGTTTTTTTTTTTTTTTTTAAGAAAAGTTATTTCTTTCAACTTAGTTATCCTGTGGGCTGTGAATGACATTACTATTGATTAAATATATATATACAATTATGTTTAATCAATGACATTACAAATTAACAACACAATTAAAATAACCCAGTGAGCTGATTTTTTTAAAACTAAAAGCTAAATTGTATTCTTATAATGTATTTTAATGGATCCATATTGATTAAGTTACTTAAAGTACATCATACACTGTAATAATATTAAAATTATTTTTAAAATACTAAACATTTAACATTTTTTTAAAGTATTCAATATGTATTACAAACATACAATTATTTTTTGGCAACTATAATGATTGCTATAATGCTATTTTTTTATATAGGTACACCTGAAGTTTCCAATTCTAATACAGAACACCGTGAAACAAAGTAATGTTAAAGTCCCAATTGTAGAATCAGGCAATTATTCATTTTGATTGTTTTAACAAAATGTATTTAATATGTAAATGTTTATTTAGTTATTATTTTTTTGTAATGTTAACAATTGTAATTGATTTTACAGGTGAACCTGAAGTTTCCAATACTGAACACTATATGGAACAAAGTATTGTTGATATTTCGTTCACAAAACCGGATTAAAATAATATTACTATGTATTGGTTATTTCACCCGCATCAACCAACAAACAAAATTCCATTTACAGCGGACAAAGCATATAAACGAAAGAATGGCAGTTATAGAAAATGGTTATCTTACTGTACCAAAGATAAAGCTCTATTTTTTTTATATACGTATTACATATGGGCATGATTCTGGAGTATTTATACGAGGTTTTAGTGATTGGAATAGCAAATTTTTTGGAAATTATTATTCTAAGTAAATATGATGAAGTTATAAAATGTCACTTAGATAAAGTTATAAAAAAAAGTACTAAGAGTCACAATGCAGGCGGTGGGGTTATTACACTATTGTCAAAGATCATTATTAATTATAACTTGACACAACTCAAGATATATCTGTGGTTGATCAATGTTAGTTATTATTCACTATATCAGTGGTACTACTAATTTTGAAAGTTTTCAGTAGCTTGAACTTGGATCCCAAATAGTGTGTTGGTGATTCTACTGATGAAGCAGCAAATATACAGGGGGATTACCGTGGATTTTCTGTTCAGCTGAGTAATGTAGCAAAAATTCAAATACATATATGGTGTTATGCTCATTTTTTAAACTTAGTTATTGGTGATGTAACTTTGGAATACTCAATGGATGTGCTGTTTTTATTAAAAAATCTCATAAGCGTATCAATGTGTGGAGGACTAATAAAGAAATGAATAAACGAATATTTTATATAGATGACCTAGATGGTGGTCTAAACATAGTGTGTTATCTAAAGTGTTTGGTAATTTCAAGAATCCAGAACCTGGTTTATTTATGGAACTTATTACTACATTAATTGAAATTGAAAATAATCTTTCTATTACAGCTTATGCTCGGTTTAAAGCAATAGGTTTGATAGAAAGATTATGCAAATATGAAACTGTTTTAACAGCTCAAATTTATTTGCTGATTTTTCAAAAAACTAGTTTTTTTTTTTTTTGTTTACGGCCTTTTAGACCACACATCCAAACATAATTGCCTCCATCCTTCACGATTTTGTGCTAGTATATGCCAATCTTCCTCCGGATAGAAAACTGTTAAATCTTTTTAGACACAGTCCTCCCATCGCATTCTGGGTCTTCCTAGTGGTCTTTTCCCTCTTGGATTCTCTTGTAAGACCGTCTTTGTCATAGCATCATGTTTCCTCCACACATGACCTGCCCATTCTAATCTTTTTCTTTTTATCTCCTTTACTATATGCAGTCTGCTATATAAGTCATATAACTCCTCGTTGTGTCTTACGCCATTCACCTGTTTTCGGGTCATGATATGGTCCATAAATCCGCATAGCCGCCTGTAGTTACTTCGGAGAACCCGTCTGGATTAATAAAGTGGCGACTGCCGTTGTTGATTTGTGGAAAAAATTGTTGGCCTCGGCAGTTAAGATCGACGTGAACGAAGACAGAACAGCAATTATTCTAGACTTTCTACCATTTTTTCCGCGGAGAAACTAACAAATTTTAATTACGGTGGTGGTTTGATTGTTTTACTGTTGCCCGTAGAAACCACGGCAACGGACGTATAAAAATAAAACAAACGAAAACAAAAACTACACATCATTCGAGCGACAACGCAGAATATCAACCGTTACGATAATAATACAATTACCGTTACACGAGCGCGATAAACGATGTTTCCGATAACGTGGACGCACGTGATTTTGGCGGCGATCGTCGCCTCGATATGTTTGTCGGGCGTGTTGGCCCGGTACGCGTACAAAGCGATCGCGTACACCAAACGGATGGCGAACGAGAACGCGGTCCGGCCGGACAGCGTCAAGAAGTACATGGAGCCGCCCGACGGCACGTCGCTGCCGGCGGACGTCCATTTACAGCTGATCATCAACTGGCTGAACGAGTTCAAGACGAAGTGCACGGACCGCCAGCGGAAGCGGCTCAGCGCCGCGTTCGCGAAACTGGCCGCGCTGGACAACTTGCGGTACAGGACCGAACTGGAAATGCGGTCGCACGCCATGAACCTGGCCGTCGTTAAACGGTACCTGTTCGACCGGTGCATCGGAATGGTGTCCGTGGGACACCAGATCGCGGACGACGAGTACAGGCCCCAAAACCACGTCAGGTATTTGCGCCGCTGTAATTCTATTATACCCGCGGGCATGTTATTAGCATACACACCATACACATCGCTAGACGCCCATTGGAAGCTGATCATTTACAGCAGCTGCTCTCATTGGCTGTATTCCGTTTGTGATCACGTTGTAAAATAATCAACATTCCGAGTTTTCGAATTTTATGTTTTAGAAAACTTCATTATTTCGATTTATTCAATGAAATACGATTTTTCCAGCATCATTTATCACATGTGCAATTTTCAATGGTGACAATGTTAATATTATTTTAAGATGGGTGTAAGTCTACTTTACCGGAAACCCTTTATTTTTGAATTTTTTTTTTACAAACGCAATGTATCAGCAAACCAAAAGGGCTTATTAAAAAATGCTGAATGTCCAAATTGTATATGTTTTTGTTTTTAAATGTTGAAATTTGTTTTATTAAAAATTAATGTACCTATATAGAATATAGGTTACCTACCCGCTAGTCCACGGGTAGGTAATCGGCTACATATAAAATAATTTAATTTATACCTGTATCCAACAATAAACCATTACTAATAAAAAAAACCATTCGGAGCGAAGTTTGGTTATTAAACATATTACGAAAGGCCGTAATATTTACGATTTTCGATACATTTTCTACGAATATTTTTAACTGAATTTTATTAATAATAAAATAATAGAAGCATTATTTTCGTAAAATGTCCCGTTTGTTCTACGTTTTTTTTTTTTTCAGTTTCGCTAAATTAACATATTTTTCGTCTATTTTGGTTTTTCCCAATTATTATGAGAAATTTTTTAAATATAAAAAAAAAAAAAACGACTTTCCATCGCTACATATAAAAACGAACAAAATCGATCTCGAATCATTTTTTCATTGGACCAATATTTCCGGTAGGTTATAAAAATTAAACACAGTGAAATCGGTATAACACCGCGACGCGCCGTAAATATTAGCGGTTTTACCTACAAATGTTCTCTCGGGTTTTTCTAAACTATTCCGTAAACCCTTTGGAAAATCAAAAAATAACCTCAGTAACGCACCAACAGACAAATTTCCCACGGAAAGTGTACCGTACCCTATACATTCCGATGTACGGTGCAAGATTTGTAAGAAAACACGAGATAAAAACATAAAAACGTAATAAACACATTGTTCAATACATAAAATTGCATTATTTATAAATATCGCCAAAACTAATTGGGTATTTTTCGAAATATGTAACGGAGTCAATATGATTCACTAATAATATTATTAATTCATACCGAAAACACGGTTGTAACAAAGGGAAAATAGGTGTTATTAGTAATTCGCTTTACGACCAGTATTGTCAGTTACGATTTGTAACTATCGGAATTAAAACCGACAATAGTTTGACAATAGATCAGTTCACTCCGGATGATGATTTTACGTTTATAAATACAAATTTGACTTTTAATTGACTACACTTCCTCGTTTGTTCCCCCGTACAAATAGTTCAGTTTTCTCTATTTACTACAATTTACTACAATAAGATCATAATATTAACTACTCGTATGTATTGCACGTCGGAGTGCGATTTCTCATATGCTTGGCGGGTGTTTGTTTCATTTGTATAC